AATATTTGTGTAATAACTTTTCTATTCCTAGAAGTCATTTTTCATTTCCTTAAACTTCACTCTTTATGAGACATATTTCCTCAGAGCTGTAACTCTAATAACCACTTTCATTTATCGATCTTTATTATTTCAAATTATTAACAATATCTGTTACCGATAATAAAGTTAGATGTCAAAAATGGAATAATGGTTAGGGCTCATGCCGTACTTGTTTTTGCTTTGTTAAAAAAATGCTATTGGCTTAAAGCACTCTAAGTTAGCCACAGATATGAGTGTGAATGTGAAAGTAATCTATAAGTGGCCTTGCAGAAGATGATCTGTCCAGGGTGTACCCAGCTGTTCCAGCCACACCCACAATAAATTGATCTCATGAAGCTTAATGTGTGAATTACTCAGTTTATACACTAGATCAGGGCTAGGCAAAGGTTTGGGCCAAACTGAAGTGCAGAATTTGACTGGTGGGCCGGTTCAGTTTTGGTTGGATATAGAGTGCTGGGTAAAATAATTTAAATTATATATACAAGAATATATACCTACTGTATAACTAAATGTCCAAAGATAATTTGGCACATTTGATGTCTGCTGCCATTTAGTGGCGTCAACAGTAATTACAGTTGATTGATTGTAGTCCATGAAACAGAAGGATTCGTGTCAGTCTTTACCATACTGTGTACCAGTGTTTGTTGGGCCAGATACAGTATGAGCTGTTTCATGATGAGCTTTAACAACAAATCATATAACTTGACTGAAAAAAAAGGAAAGATTTTGGAATGTTTTTAACACATTCGATCATTAAAACATGGTGACATCACTGCTGTTATTCTTTAACACACCCCAATAATTTCTTTAAGGACATGTGGACCTAATTATCTGTTAGGTAATATCACAGAGCTGCAGCAGCAGCAGTTGGTGAAGTCATGTCCGTAGATGTATGTACACACACACACACACACACACACACACAATGTACTTTTTCTTACCATGTCTCACATCATCAACGTCCTGTTTTACCAGTTGGCTCAGTATAAGTTCAACATTTGCTCAGCGTTAGGACAGACACACACTTTTAGAGTGATGCTGTGTGATCTGCAGTATACCAGTGTGTTACATAAGAGCTTCTCCACCCTACATATGGATCCAAGTCGCAGGATGAAGCAATTTAGTTGAGTTTTTTTTTTTTTTCACTCTGAGTTTCTTCATCTTTTTTTTTTTTTTACTTTGCTGGTTTTTAAGTTCACTGCTCATTGATTCACACCCTGTTTCTGTTCTGTTTTTCTCTGCCTCACTGTATTTGTCAACATGTCTCTCACACGGAAACACCCCAGCAGCTGTCTGTAGTGACTGCACAATGTTTTCAGTTGCCTTCAGACTGACATTCGCACGGTTTTATCTTTTGACTAAACCCAGAACTGTTTTTTTAATTTTTTTAAAGAAAACAACAAGCTGAAACTTTTGCTACAGCTCTGGAATGTGTAAAGGTCAACATTAGGGTTGTAATATGACAAAAAACATCTATTCTGGTACATAAAAAAAGATAATCAAACACACACAATTATTCTTAAATAAATGTTTTTTCAAAGGCAAACTATTACATCAGATTCAGTAATACCAGCATTGCTGCAGCTTCAACTTGATGCTAATACATGCAGGTTGATGTGTTGGTTCTGTAACGAAAAAAAACTTAAAGTGCAGGATGTAAACTATGGTGTAAGCATGTTTAGATTTAGTGAATCAAACGGTTCCATTTTGATCTTTGAGTCCAATTCATATACGAGGTCTAAGGAGTAGGTGACACGTTTATGGGTTCCTGAAACATACCACATGGTAATGCAAGCCCATACCCTCCACATGTTATTGGAAGTTTGTACTGATTTTGGCCATCATCACTATCTGTACCAAAATGCAGCCACAAATGTTAAATATGTATTGATGTGATGTTTGTCGTATTTTGTCTCTGAGCTTTTTTTCATTCTTTTCTAACAGTCTAATGGACAGACGACGCCTTTTAACCAACCTGTCTTTGTCTTATCTGCTGGTTACACTGCTTCCCTGAGTTTGAACTACAGTTCAGTGGGCTGAAATGTTAGCAAACATTTGAACATGAGGCGTTGTAGTCCAGGCTGTTGCTTTTAGCATTTGGATGTGTCGAATGGTGTTTCTTGAAGGGTGTAAATCCGATGTACCGTATATCTTTCAAAAAGGTGCTTAGCAACCTTTAGTTCTGATGTGTATCATCAGTAACATCCTGCATGTCCATTACTCCATGTCCCGCAGACTAGTTGCACTGACCGAGGTGTCAGACACTTTTAAATAAACACATCTCTCTAACCTCAGCTCTAGCAGCTGTGATGTTTCTGCCCGTTCCTACAGAGTGAAGAAGGTGGACATGCAGTGGAAAGAGCTTGTGCAACAGTGCTCAGCACTAACACCACAACAGGCTCTCGTGTTACCAGCCCACAGAAAAATAAATTCTCAACAGCATGCTGTTAAATGTGATGAGACTAAACAGAACCACATGAGCAGAAGCACATGGAACGGTTTGTGTAACGTTGACTTTGTAGTTCCAGCTGTTGGCAGAGCTGGATGGCTTGTGATCTGCCTTGTGATGCAGACCCTGTCATTGGGAAGGTGAGAAGATGTTGAGTGTAGTGTAACATGCGGACGTACCAGCGTTTGTGTTTCACATGTGATGTAATCGCCTCGTCTCCCAGCAGAACACATGGTTTGTAAACATGTGCACTTACTCAGCTGCTGCATGTTTACTTTCCTTTTTAAAAATATTTAGTAAGAATGTGTTTTGGAATAATTCACCTAGTAGAATATTTACACCACATCTTACAAAACCATTTAGCATTTTGAATTGTTGAATTTAAATAAATAAGTCAAATTAAAAAAGGTACAACTGTCATCATTTCAGAGATCATTTTGGCATGGCAGTAATCATAAGATATCAGACGAAAAAATAGTTGGAATTTCTAACAGAAATGAAAAAAAAATGTTTTTGTTCATGTGATACAAGTGGAATTTTCTAGAGCTTAATCAAGATTTTTCAGATTTTTATCAGTACCAAAATTATGTGAGATATTCAACAGCCTTGTGCAACATTCAAACACATAGTGTACTGTATAAAGCTAACAGCCTTGTGCAACATTCAAACACATTGCTCTCTCAGCATAGTGTGCTGTATAAAGCTAAATGTTGACTAATACTGTTGAGGATAAGGGCTTTAACAATGATTCACTTTGTTTTGATTTTATTTCTTCTCTCGTGATTACAAATGTAGATCACTCTGCTCTGATTTAGGAACCTGATGTTAAACATGTAACAGCATTGTGTGCTGACAGATTTCTTACAATCAAATTGCTTAAAAAACTCATTATATTGCTGTGCCTATAGTATCGGAGTATATTGTAGTAAATTGTATTGTTGCCCCTGTATCGTGATACCTGATTCTTGGTATCAGTCCACAGCTGCCCGGTAATTAATCAGATTAATTTTTTGTAATAGTTTAACAGCACTGATTACATAACATACTGTTGACAGTGATCAGCAACGGACTGGAAGACTTTTAGGCTCAAAATCTTCAGCTCTAAATACGTCTCTCTAGTTTGGCTGTGTGTTTTCACTGCAGATGTTTTACCTCACAATTTAGGCCACCAAGCAAAGCCAGTGTGAAATCTGATCAGTGAGGGGATGTGTTTGTTTAACTGTGTTTCGACATTGTTGTTTGGTTACATGCTGGCACGCCAGTGGAATATAAAATGTTTAATTGGATATAAAATAGGCCAAAACATTATGTCCATCTCCCTCCATGTGGCGGGTTGATGACTGATATCTACAGGGCTGTTTAATGTGGAATGTTATGCGTCTGCCAGACTTTGTTGACAAGACAGGCTCCACCGAATCTACACTTTATCTTAATACCAGCGTGGATGGTCATCAGCACCAGCAACGTTGCTGCAGTCTGGAAACCCTCAACCTGTTTCCCATTAGCTTCGGTTCTTTATGCAATGCAGCCACAAGGTTTGTGTGCTGGGAAGGAAAAGAGGTGAGGAAGAGACAAGTGGAGTCTCCTTAATGAGCTGGCTGCCAAAACAAAAGGCCATATGGGTTCAATTGTCTTTGTTTAACAGTCTTAGTGATCATAATACTGGATGACCTTGGTGGACTGTTGCGCTTAATCATCTGCAGTGCAGAAGAATACTTAAACCTTCAATGTAAAACCTTTGGTCAAGTTCAGTTGATGTTTACTCAGGAGGTTTATTATTCTATCTTTGTGAATGGAATTTATTTAAAAAAATATCTGTTTGCGCTTGCATTTGAAAAGCAACTTGGACTAGCATATTGACAGACATGACACAATTGTTAAGTTGCTTTCAGAAAAAAAAAAAACGAGACTGAATGTCTAAAGGTGATAGTTATAATAACTGGGGGTACCAGACATGATAGACTACAATATTCAAATATTATCTTTATTGGTTTGTTATTTGATTTGGATTAATTTTACTTTAAGACTTCTACTGGAAGTCTTGTTTTCCCACGGACTTACAGTCACACATACTGTACGTCACTACAACAATTTCAAAATGTCCTGCTTTTACAAACACTTCCTTTTTCTCATGCATGCTCTGATAATTTACAAAACAGACATATTTCATAAGAAGAAGACCTGGAACTGATGCAATAAGTGAAGGAATGAAAGTGAACTACTTGTCATTGTGACACAGCACCCTCCAGTCCACTTCCTTAACCACTAAGCCACCACTGCCCCAGTGATGTAAACTTGGTTCCTATAAAACCACCAGAGTCTTTCTAGGTATTCCTTTACAACTTCACCCTGCAACTACAGCCTGCAATGGATTTAGCTTTGTCCAGTTCTTATATACAGTCTGCCTCAGCAGAGACAATGTGCAAATAAATAAAATAAAAAAATTAATAAAATAAATATTGAAAACATGTATTATATATAAACAAATAACCAGTAAATTAAATACAAAAATAAACATTCTTCTCATACTTTTAGTTGTGTGCACTTATCAGTAAAACTTGAAAACAGGATTTTTTTTTGCTACAACCAGCACTAGCAGCACATTTACTGATAAAGTTATCAGACCTGAAGGAGGAGTAGGAGGCGTAAACGCTGCGATCACCTGCAGGAACAAACACCTGCAGTTTCCAAAGCTCCCACTGCTGCAGATCCGCTGCTGTGTTTCAGACAGAGTCGGTGCAGGAGTCCGGGGCTCCTCCCTGTTTGCTCCTCATTGGCTCCATGCTTTTCCCCCAAACACGTGTCGGTGCAGCTCCTCCTGTCTGCCATGACTTTTACTGTGGGAGTTTGTCCCCAGTCATATGTCTCATCACTGTACACGTTGAAGGAGTTCGTTTCCTTCAGTGAAGATTGTGGTGAAATAATGTTATGAAAACTATCCTGGAACTTATTTTAAAATGGCACTCGCCTTCACTGCATTGGGAAACTACAGATATCCGTTCACCGTTGCCGGCATCAGGGAAAACCCGGTCTAGATTTATTCCTTTTTGCTCAATTATTGTTTGGAAACATCAAATTTTTTCTGTCTCTGTTTCATCATTTTTTTTCTGCTGTGGTTAAAACTTGAGGGGAGTTTCGCGCACATGAAGGCAGGAGAGGAGTAAAAAAAAAAAAAGCTTTTTTTTTTCCGGGACCAAAAGAACACCTGACGCTGTTCTGAGCTCCAAACTTCCAGCGGTATGACGCTGGGAAACGTGTCCAGTTCTGACAGCTCGTCAGCGGTCAGCTTCTGCTCCTGCTGCGGTGCCAAGATGGTTCCTTACTTCAGCGATGACGCTGTGGTGACGAAAAATCAAATTAACCAACTGTAAGTTACATTTATTTCTCATGTTGTATTTTATTTATTTTAAGTTTTTTTTTTCGCCTATGGGGGGCGAAATAACGACAGTCGTGACTGATGTCACGTGATCAATAACGGCGTTTGCAACCAGACCGAAGTTTTAGTCCTGTTGATGCGCCTGTTTAAATGCGTCATCTTGTTGTAAACTAGTGTGAATAATGTCAACAGAATGAAAAGCAACATCTGTAGTTCCTGGTGACGCAGCCGTTGATCATGTTTTTCTGACCTTACAAAGACATCGAGGCTCCACATGTTTGAGTGATTCACTTTTTGTTTGAAACATGCCCAGACACAGACTTGATCCAGAATATCTACTTCTCCTATGTCCTCAGTAGAAGGAAGTACGAAAGAGACATGCAGACAGTTCCTGATGGGAGTTTTGGTTTCAGAGATTTACAAAACAAAAAAGTTCAGTTGATTCAGAAAGTTTTAAAATTGATGCTATCATTTCCCCCAGGTCTACATGATGAGATTGATTATTATGTTTATTATGTTTATTAAGTTTTAAGCTTTCTTTTTCATCCTCACAAATGAATAGTCAGAGTAAATACAAAACTGTCAACTAAACCTCAATGGAAAACCTGTTGAATTATTGCCTATTAGCAACAGGTGTGTCACTTTCCCAAAACTGAAAGAACTTTTGAAATCACTGGATTTCCGTCTTTAACTGAGGTAAAGACATCTCCTGCAAGTCTACAAAGAAGGAATAGTTTGATGGAAATGGCTTGTAGAAGTGGTTAGATTTCACTTTTGGATATTTAGAGAAATGGCACAATGATCACATTTCACTGTGGTTTACCCAAAATATGAAAAAAGCCCAAGGGAAGTGGAATGTATTAGACGTTAAAGTAGCAGGATGAGTGCAGCTCAGCAGAGACCAAGGCTTGGTGTCTTAATAAGCAAGAACCGATGTTGAAGAGACTCAACGTGTCATGTTTGTCAGCTGATTGCTGATACTTAGTTTTTACAACCATTCCATTCTTTAAAAAAAAAAAGCCCATTGAGACACCAGTCACGTGTCAGAACCTGAAAACTAAAGCATAGTAAAAGGTTCAGCCCTTGGTCCTTGAGGGCAGTAGGCCAAAGTAAATATAATATGCAGTTTGTGTTCTTGAACATGCTGAGAACAATGTAAAGATTGTCTTTACTGGGTCAACTTCCAGTAATCTTATCTGTGGTCTACAGTCCCTGTAGACATCAAGGAGAAGTGGAGCAATGGCTTGTTAGATACAGTAGAGTGAAGAGACATAAGCCCTCAAGGCCAGATCAAAGACTTGCCTGTCTAGTTTTTTAAAGTACTATTTTAGAGACTAAGGCTAAAAAAAAGGCTAGTCAAATTTTGGTTTAAGTAATTGCAAACCTGAATAATATTTCATCTTTTATCTTTTGTAACACTTCCAAGAAATCAGTAAGCGTTGCATAAATGTTTAGTCTTCAGTTCCCATGTTTGAATCTTGCAGCTGTTTTACACAACATTTTCTGTGAGTGTTCTTAAAGCAACGTTTGCACAATTGAGATTCATTGTAAGACATTACAACAAACATTAGGCGTGTAGCCCTGCCAAGTATCACTTGTGGGGATCTTCAAAGTTCCTGCTTTGTTTGGTTACAGCACATGATGCTTATAGATTCCTTTTTTCACAGCCTCTTTCTAAAATCAAAGGCCAACGTAGGTGCTCATGACACCCGAGGTTGCGTTGCCGTCTTTTTGATTGATTATACGTGTTTGTTCATGTTTAATGTCGGCGTGCATGTTTCTGTTTGTTTATAGCGTGAACGCCCATGTGTGCCAGAGTGCCAGCAGGACTTAATAATGTTTAACCAGGGTTTCAACAGGTAATTACAAGGCTTGAAGGTTGTACGTATGGAGTTAAGTATTACCTGTGGCTGTACGGCATCTAAAACACCATTGTGTTCCTAGCAATTTTAGAAATACCAGTAAGCCCCTCTCTTCCGCTTTGTGTTTGTGTTGAGAAGGAGTTTTTGAAGGAATACAGATAAGACACAAACATCACGATGTCAAGTGCCTGTGTTGGGAAAGTCAACATGGTGAGGTCAACAGGGAAATGTACAGTTGGAAATAGGCCAATGTCTGTTGTTGATTGTTTGTCTTTGTTTGTGACGTCTTTTAAGTCAAATTACACTTAATTAAATCACATGACCAAATGTTTTTTCTGTTCCACAAAAGGCCTTTTTGTTGTTGTCCATCTTAGCTTTTGAGGGATTGTGATTTTCAATTTTTTTTTTGTATAGTTAAAAAAAAACACCTCACACTGCTACCATCAGAGCTACATTTGACCAAAGTGTTTGTCTAAACTGTAAGTTAAAGTGTAATCTGAGTCTGTCTCAGAATAGCACAGCATGTCTGCGGCAGGTTTGTTTGGTCCACTGAGGTGACAGCAACTCTCACCAGGTCTTGCTTACAGCGTTGCTAAGGACACAGGAGAAAGACCGTAGCAAATGTTGTGGTCTACATTCTGACACAAAAGCCACCAGGTCTATGCAGTTTGTCATCTAGTGTCTGTGCTGCTTGATGTTAGTCTATCTTTAGTACGACCTGGTATTCCTTTCTATTTATCTGTCCTGGCTGAGTACGAATCTGGCCGCTCTCATCATCTCTTTTAATGGTTCTCAAGCTTTGCCAAGCTACCTTTCCCTGGACATGGATAGAACGGTTTTCTTTTTAGGATTGACTTATGTAACAAGACTGGCAGTGATAAACCAGACTTCTGCGTCTGCCGTATTCCTACCAATTCCTACCACATGTGGCTGAATATTCACCAACTCGCACTCACCAACCAGCTTCCTAAATTTCCCATGGGCTGCAACTGCATTGGGGGCAAACTCATAAGGCCTTAGCAGGCTCAGCCCGCCACAGCGGCTGACCCTATATTTATCCCACCCCCCCTCCTAAGAGTGACTAATATGGGCATAGACAGCAAGGGGGGTCACCTAGATATCTGCCCACTGTGTAGAGTGGTCCTTACATAGTGATGATTGTGTCTCTGACTGTTGCCCTAACAAGTACCTACTGCTCCACTTCAGGCCACAGCCGGGGAGGACTGAATGCCAAAGGATGACCCACCCTGCAGTCTGACTGAGGCTTCGCTCTCTGTTCTACTGAATGTCATTCTATGCAGCGTAACCTTCAGTCCCATATGTAGTGGAAACGGCTGAAATGTTTTGTTGCCCTCTTTTCCTTTGTTTGCATTTTGTGCAATAACAAAAAGCTAAAAATATCATAGTATAAATTAATGTGGTTCATGTGTTTACATTTCTGCCTACTCTTCAAATCCTCCCAGTGCACCAGAGAATAATATATGTTTATAAAATCACAATATGAATATTCCTGTACTCATATTTACAATAGAGTTAAAAATTAAAAACAAAATCAAACCTATATTCTCTGGCTAAGTACAAGTCTTTAAACTTTACACTCCAGTAGTCTCTAACAAATTAAAGCAGGTTGTTTAAACCAGCACAGGTACAGATTTTATTTAAGCTAAAGTCTGTTTAAAGAACTTATTCTTGTCTGGATAAAGCAGCCTGTTGTCAACAGGGGGCATTTTAAAACCATAATTATCTTCTGTTCATGGTTCATCAGAATTTTATAGACATCAAAACTCCTCAATCATCTAGTCTATTTAAAAAAGTACTTGTTGTAACATGAACTTAACAACCACCTTTTTTCAGTCTGGTTTAAACGCTCTGTGTCATGACACAGAGTTTTCCATTATCTACAACAAAGTCACCAAGAAGAGAAAAAATAAAACCCAGTCCAGAACTAGACATTGGAACATTTTTATATTTACAACCATTTGTGGAATCAGTTTAACGATAATATAAAAAAAACAAGAGGCAACTAGCACCTTGGGCAGATGTGTTCATTTTTATTTTGGACCATATTTGAATTGCAATGCATAAGGATTAGCGTCATGTTCCAGCCTTTATGCCAACAGTCCAAAACCATTCTGTTGGACACCACAGTGCTCCTAAATCGAAGCCTTGCAGCTAATAGTAATCATCATTTAGTTTATTATGCAGGGCAAAATAAATTTGTTGGCTCTTTTAAATGCTTAAACAAACGGTTCTCACATTTCTCTCGGAGCGTTACTTTCCCAGCATAAGATGATTTAAAATTACTAAACGCCCCACTTTAAGTATGCAGTGTGTGATGGATAGTTTCGCACTTACATGGAGTCTCATTTTCAGCACAAGTACAGACTGGTGTGTGGCACTGCTGCAGCGTGCTCTCGTTGACCTGTCGTGCATACAGTAGGTGACTGAATGTGAGCTGTTAATAGACCAAACTTTTAAAGGACTACTGTAATTTTAGCAGCACTATTTGGGTCCTGCAGCGCCACTGCTGTTCCAACCTTCAGACTTAGATTCCACTTTCTCAGTGTGACTGTGTGCCGAAGCAGTAGAGGTCATGTTGGACGTGTGCACGTGCATGTGTGAGTGTGAGTTTTATCTTACAGAGGACGCTCTACTGTAGCACTGCTATACATGGTCATTGCCAAGTACAGTGTCTGCATGTGACTAACATGACACAGCGGGATTTGGGAAAGTGGAAAAAAAAAAGAAGAATTCGAATGAATTTGAGCAACAGCCATAGTAGTGAGAAATGCAGAAAAAGAGGAAGTGAGAGAAGACAGAGGAAACAGCTGGGTCAAGAGTTGGCTGGGTTATGGGAAATAAGCTCAGCATGTTTCCCCCCCCTTGGCCTCCCTCCTCTCCATCTTTGTTGTCTGCGGTGTCTACAGAATCTGTACATCCACCGTCTCAGCAAAATCCAGGAAGGGACTGTTGGAAGAGTGAGAGGATGGAGAGATAAAGTTACAGAAAGAGGGGTGGGTGGGGGGGCAACAGGAAGGCTAAATAACAGACTGTTTCTCAAGTTAGCTGTGAGTATGAAACTGAAGTAGTGTAAGACCTGATGAACTGTAAATGTTGGGTTCACTGAGTGTGGACCAGAGCCTGCTGAGGAGGCAGTGATTATTCAACACAGTGGTTAACCATTTAAATTAGCATAGCCACCACCTGTTTGTACTGTAAAACTGCAGAAAGCCAGCCACCCCCCTCCAGCCCCACACCCCGCGCCAACAACCGCCCACTCACTCACC